TACATATAAATATACATACAGAAAGATATTATGTATAATCCAATAGTTATATTCATTTAAATACAAAGAATATAATGAAATACTTTTTGATGTTTATCGTATAGACCATATAAGCAAAATAATAATCGTGACCACTAGTATAGGGGTTGTGGAGATTATTAAGTTTTTGATTGAGATCATGAACCAATTGATGTTAGACCATCACAATTGAAAACCTGGAAGCACTGGATGGCCGTTTCGTCCTATTGTGGGACTCCTCAGCAGTGTGCATCCACGATCCCGGTTCATGATCTCAATCAAAAACTTAACAATCTCCACAACCCCTATACTAGTAATCAACATGTGCTCACTAGTGACTAGCTTCGTGAGGGAATTCTCGGAGTTCTAGTGAGAAGCCGTGACCAGTGGAGCTAATCCTTGTCGGGTAAAGACAGGTATCTACTTCAGTACAACGGAAGTTGGTCGCGCAATTTTGTGGATTGGTTGGTGTTAGAAACTATCGCCATTGGATGCCGACTCAGCGGTCCAGTTGGTTAGGCGTTCGCGCGCGAGACCGAAGGCCCTGGGTTCGAATCCCACTCGCGGGATCGTGGATGCGCACTGCTGAGAAGTCCCACAATAGGACGAAACGGCCGTCCAGTGCTTCCAGGTTTTCCATGGTGGTCTAGTTTCAATTGACTCATGATTTCAACAAAAAAAGTTATTTAGATTGAGTGTCTATTAAGAAACAAATACACCATTATCATAACAAAATATATATAACCCTGATAGTTTAACTTTCCATTTGTCTTATTCTTATGAATCTATCTGTAAAACTTAGTGATTCTTTAAGTGATGTTATTTGATATGAAAATAAAACAATCTCATTACGAAATATTTCAGTGATTATATACATGAATTCAACTACAATCATTACAAATTATCAGTCTGATTATAATCATGTGTACATTAGTGTGACTAGATTCAAAATGGATTTCCTAAAGTTCTATTCAGAAGTCATGATCAATAAAGTTAAACCGTGTCTGTTGTGACGCAGTTACTCACTGAAGACAATAGCGAACGGTGGAGTAATATCGTAAATTGTTTGAAGTTAAACATTAACACGGTTAGATGCCAGTTCAGTAATCTCTAGAGATTAAGCATTCACACACGAGACTGAACGTCTTGGGTTCGAGTCTCTTTATTGTGAGATCATAGAGACGTTCAAGACTAAAACGAGATGGCCGTCCGATACTTCTAGGGTTTCAATGGTTGTTTAGCTTAGATAGATTCATGAATTCAACTGTTAGAATATATATTTGCATATATATCTATCAATTACACGCCGATAATGACTATCAGATAACCTTAATTACTTACTTACTTACTTACTTACTTACTTACTTACTTACTTACTTACTTACTTACTTACTTACTTACTTACTTACTTACTTACTTACTTACTTACTTACTTACTTACTTACTTACTTACTTACTTACTTACTTACTTACTTACTTACTTACTTACTTACTTACTTACTTACTTACTTACTTACTTACTTACTTACTTACTTACTTACTTACTTACTTACTTACTTACTTACTTACTTACTTACTTACTTACTTACTTACTTACTTACTTACTTACTTACTTACTTACTTACTTACTTACTTACTTACTTACTTACTTACTTACTTACTTACTTACTTACTTACTTACTTACTTACTTACTTACTTACTTACTTACTTACTTACTTACTTACTTACTTACTTACTTACTTACTTACTTACTTACTTACTTACTTACTTACTTACTTACTTACTTACTTACTTACTTACTTACTTACTTACTTACTTACTTACTTACTTACTTACTTACTTACTTACTTACTTACTTACTTACTTACTTACTTACTTACTTACTTACTTACTTACTTACTTACTTACTTACTTACTTACTTACTTACTTACTTACTTACTTACTTACTTACTTACTTACTTACTTACTTACTTACTTACTTACTTACTTACTTACTTACTTACTTACTTACTTACTTACTTACTTACTTACTTACTTACTTACTTACTTACTTACTTACTTACTTACTTACTTACTTACTTACTTACTTACTTACTTACTTACTTACTTACTTACTTACTTACTTACTTACTTACTTACTTACTTACTTACTTACTTACTTACTTACTTACTTACTTACTTACTTACTTACTTACTTACTTACTTACTTACTTACGCCTACTACTCCCAATGGAGCATAGGCCGCCGACCAGCATTCTTCAGCCCACTCTGTCCTCGGCCTTCTTTTCTAGTTCCATCCAATTCTTGTTCACTTTTCTCATATCTGTTTCCATTTGTCGGCGTAATGTGTTCTTTAGTCTTCCTCTTCTCCTTTGGCTTTGAGGGTTCCAAATGAGGGCTTGTCTTGTGACACAGTTGAGTGCTTTCCTCCATGTGTGTCCTATCCACTTCCAGCACTTCTTCCTGATTTCTTCCTCCACTGTAATCTGGTTTGTTCTCTCCCATAGCAGTAGGTTGTTGTTGATAGTGTCTGGCCAACGGATCCGAAGTATCAGATAACCATTTTACTATTATTATAGATCGATTCCAACAATGTTAATAATACTTATTGTAAGATAAGAATGTGATTTATGCATAATCAATACTGAATTACGTTTAATATTTATGATAATGAAGAGGTCCAAATAGTAATCAATAATGTAGTTACTATGTAATTGAAATCATTTGATGAATCAATCTATTCTGTTATTGAATTCATTAGTCAATTAGTCGTCAATCTAAACAATTTCGATCTCCTTTATTATTCAATTAAAACTTTAAATTACCATAATAAATTGTATTTATTCTGAATCTTGGAAGGAGACAATCCAAAATGATGATCCGTTTTCATAATTCATATACTTACTTGGTATTGCTTGGCTTGTATCTTTCCATTGAGGTTTAAGACTGCAATTGATCAGTCTGTTATTGGCATATGTGCATACTGTGCTTATGCCTCGATATTGTCTTACGTCACAAGCTTTTTTTAGGCAATGATGGATAGCAGCTAGTAGTGGAATCCAGTTTGACGCGCGTTTCTTCCAATTTGGGACCGTCAGTTGGATGTACCTACATCTCAGAGTTGTTGATGTTCACTCTGGGACTCGAACCCAGCACATATGCCAGTAACAGACTGATCAATTGCAGTCTTTAATCTCAATGGGAAGATACAAGCCAGACAATACCAAGTGAATTTAAATTCACCCCATTGCACAAGCAAGTGGCTATGAGGACTCAGTAGCTGAGTGGATAACGCAATGGCGTTTGAAGCGAATGGTACTGGGTCCAAGTTCAAGGTACATCCAGCTGACGAGTCACAAATAGGACAAGACGAGCGTCAAACTGGATTCCACTGCTAGCCACTATCCACCATTCGCATACTTAGTTTAGTTAATCATATTATTTTGGATTTTCATATGATATAAAGCGTAGCAATTGAGAAAAGTAAGATTCTTCAATACAATATATCATGCGTCAATTAAATCACACTTAATGGAGAAACTTTAGAGGATATAAAAACTTTTACATATCTCTTTACTCTGATGATCGATTGGACCATGAAGACAATGGATATCTAGGATGAAGCTGGACGATCAAGACTTCGCAGATGATCTGGCTCTTCTGTTGCACACGCAACAACAAATACAGAAGACGACCAGTGTAGTAGCAGCCTCAGCAGCAGTAGGTCTTAAAATACACAAAGGGAAAAGGAAGATTCTCTGATACAACACAGCATGCACCAATCAAATCACAATTGATGGAGAAGATTTGGAAGATGCAAAATCCCTTACATATCTGGGCAGCATTATTGATGAACATGGTGGATCTGATGAAGATGTGGAAGCGCGGATCGGCAAAGCAAGAGCAGCATATTTACAACTGAAAAACATCTACAACTGAAAACAACTATCTGTCAACCAACATCAAGATCAGAATATTCAATACAAATGTCAAGACAGTTCTACTGTATAGGGTGGAAACGTGGAGAATGACGAAAGCTATCATCCAGAAGATACGAATGTTTATTAACAGCTGCCTACGCAAAATACTTCGGATCTGTTGACCAGACACTATCAGCAACGACCTACTTTGCGAAAGAGAACAAATCAGATCCCAGTGGAAGCAGAAATCAGGAAGAATCACTGGAAGTGGATACGACACACATTGAGGAAAGCACCCAACTGTGTCACAAGATAAGCCCTCAATTGTAATCCTTAACGCCGAAGGAAAATAGCAAGATCAAAAAACACATTACATCGAGAATTGAAAGCAAATATGAAAAAGATTAATAGCAACTGAGAAGAACTCGAAGTGATTGGTCAGAATAGAGTTTGATAGAGAATATTTGTTGAAGATTTGTACTCCTCCATGAAGAGTGATAGGCTTAAGTATTACTTTCAACTACAAGTATAACATAAACCACTTGTTATTTCCTGAATAAAATCAATTGTTTTAGACAATGACATTTCTATTTGTAGTTATATAACATAATCACACTTTAATCTAAATGGGAAATATGGGATCAATTAATGTGTGGGCAAGTGTTTGAAGGAAATAAATTTGATTGGTTCATTTATAGTAGGGGGTGGATATAAATTAAATTTAATATTTATATATAGATAGATAGATGACAATAATGAAATCTATTTCATTATGATTTGTTAAATGAATATGAAAGAGTATCTCTTTCAATGAAGACTGTACTTACCTACTTACTGACGTCTGTTATCCCTCATGGAAGAGCATCGGTCGTTCATGAACATCCTCCCATATGAATGTAGGATCTATAAAATAAATAAATCATTAAAACAAATTGAATTTACATTAACATTAAACATTGACTATTATAAAGTGTTTATATATTACTTATATACTACTACTACGACTAATAATAGTAATTATACATTATAATATATACCAGGAAACTATTCATTTCACATAGAAACTATATTAACTTATTATTGATGATTTAATTAATGAATATAATAAATCAATATGTTACAAACAATAAGATCAAATAATATTACCCCTAATATAAATTTCCCAATATGTTGTCTTCAAGTTGTCGATCACCATGGTAACAATAATCATAATAATAATAATATGACTACTAATATGATGAATATACCAATGAACAATATAGAGAAACAAACACTTAATGATGAAACTATTGAATCGATGTATGAAAAAGCGAATGATTTATTAAATAGAATGAAAAAACGTAGAAAAATTTTAAAAAATAAACAAACAAAACTACAAAATGATGATGATGATGATTGTAACCAAGTTAGTACTGCTACTACACCTACTACTACCACGACTACGACTACAACTTATTGGCTTGAAAATAATGAAAAGTTATTTCATAAAACTAGATATGGTGAGTAATAGTAAGTAAGTAGTGACAATATTATTATTATTACTATAATAATCAGTATTATTAGTAGTAGTGGTAGTATTACTAGTAGTAGTGGTAGTGGTAGTAGTACTCGTAGTAGAAATGTATGAGTAGTAATCTAATGGCCAAACCAAAACGTGGCATCAGTGATTGAAATCACTAATTTCTAGTCTGAATCATTTTGGTACTAGATGCAGATTATTTGGATGGGGTCGCTGTGACTATCTTAATCAATGGTTGGAAACTCTGAGTGACATGACTCAGAATCAATCACAATGGTGTAGGTAATGTATACACTCTCTGTCTTCCCTTAAACTATGAGATTAAAATTGTTTTATACCTTTCTTTCTATCACGTAATTTTTTCCTTTTCCATTATATTCTTATACACAATCTTTCTTTCATACATTACTACCATTGAAGAAACTACTTCGATGAAACCGGTGTTCATCTTGCTGTGATAATGAGGTGTGCGAACTTGTAGCGATGCATATATGTGCCTGCTCCTACGTTGTAGCTGACTGACTAATTGACTGGTGAAGAATAGCTTAAATTCACTTGGTATTGTTTACTTGTAACTTTCCATTGTTGTTTAGGAATGCAATTGATCGGTCTCTTATTGTCATATGTGCATACTGTACTTATTGTCTTGATATAGCCTTAATTAACAAGCATTATAAACAAAGATGAACAGTGGCTGGTAGTGGGATACAGGACGCACGTTTCATCGTAGTTGAGACCCGTCAACTGGATGTACCTGCATTTCAAACTTGTTAACGTTTACTGACCCATACGTCCATCATTCTCTCCAGTGAGTTACTATCTTACAACAGACCCGGTTGAACTCCACTGGTCACTGCTTCTCACTAGAACTCCAGGAAATGCCTCTTAAAGTCAGTCACGTGAGAGTAAAAGATGATTAGTATCAGAAAGAGCGTTTCGTGAAGAATGTGGTAATTTATTAGTTAAACTGACGAATCGATTAAAACTAGGCCACCGTTGCATACCTGCTCAGTGGTTTAGAGGTTAAACCTTAGCGCGCAAGACCGGAGGTCCTGGGTTCGAATCCCACGGGCAGGATCGTGAGCGAACAATGTTGAGGGAGATCATACTGGGATGAGACGACCATCCATAACTTGTTATAATCATTTCGTCTAGCTTTTTTTCCGATACAACGTATATATGTTCCGGTTTATGTAGGATTTATGATTGGCTGATTAAGATTTGAAGGGTTTAGGTTTCAATTCTAAATGTGTATTGTAAAAATGCACTATCATTAATTTCAAAATTAGGAAGAAAAACAATACTCCCCCCCTTGTTCAAGTACTTTTACCGGAGTTTCATTTTATTTATAATAATAAACATTCAAAGAACAAATTGATTTTTTTGATATCTTAGAGATAAACTATTGATCTTATGGTGAAACAAATCAATATTAACACTATATAAAGATAATATTACCTGTTAGTTATAGTTATGTAATATACCCTTGTGGGTCAGGGTAATTTTAGATTGGTTTTCAGGAGAACCAGACACCATCCAGATTTTCACGTGACAACCCAAACAGTATTGCTCAATCCGGTTTAACAGGAGAACCAGACACCGTATAGGCTTTAAGGCTACAATCTGAACATTAAAGCTCAATTCTGTGGTGCAACCACACAGGTACCAAGCACCCTGGTGGATCAACTACCTGATATACCTGACAATATAAACACGTTGATATAGGGGAATTAATAGTCATAGAATATTGTATTAACAGTGAGATTATAATTTATGGATGATCTTAAAGTGACGCTAAATTGACCTTGAGACTAACCACTTAATAACAAGGATCAAATAAGGATTATAAATCAGTGCGAGGAATTAGAATTATGATTGATGTTTGAAATTAGATTTAGGGTTTCCCATCACAAATTGACATCAGCTATAATGCCAAAACTTTATTTATCCAAATGGATGAATGAATTTCGTACCGAAGTCCAAGACTTGTTCTCTCAGATCCGATTGATTCATCTATAAATTATAGTCTTGCCACATTAACTCAAAGATCTAAGAACTCCATGAAAGATCCAAATCGTTAATTATTGAGATGATTAAACTTTGAATAAACTATTTATCATGTATCACTCAATGATCATGTGCTTGACAATGAACATCACTTATTTTCATGTTCTATATCATGGATTGTAATTTGTAATGATGATGTAAAGAAAGAAAAGTTGATTGATGACTAAATCCCATGATTCCAAAACAAAATAGATCTATTTTGAAGGATGTCACGTACAAAATGATCTGATAGTTATGGTTCAATTAAGTTATAACACTGTGAATAAATGATACTATCTAATATATATTAAGACAATTCACTTGGTATTGTTGTTTACTTGAATCTTCTCATTGATCTTTTGCATTGAAATTGGTCAGTTTCTTATTGGCATATGTATATCCTGTACGGATTGCTTTGATATTCCCTTAAATCATAAGCATTCTAAACAATGATAGATAGTGACTAGTAGTGGAATCCAGTTTGACGAGCATTTCGTCCTATTTGGGACTCGTCAATCGGATTTACCTGTATCCAAGAGTTCTTGTTTACTCTAGGACTCGACCGTTTCATTCTATTGTGGGACTCCTCAGCATTGCGCATCCACGATTCCGCTCGCGGGATTCGAACCCAGGGCCTGTATCAGGTAGAAAAAGGTATCTGCCTCAGTAAAATGCAAGATGGTAGCGCAGTTTCGTGGATTGCTTGAAATTAGACATTAACACCGTCGCATGCCGACCGACTCAGTAGTCTAGAGATTAAGCGTTCGCGTGTGAGACCGACAGGTCGTGGGTTCGAATCCCACAACCCTATACTGATAAAAAGTCTTTTTTTTAAAAATCAAGAAATGATATCAGGTAGTGAATTTTTAAAGAATTAAATAACAATTTTTATCTCTGTTTGAAATTGTCCTTTATCAGGGTACATTTGAAATAAAATAAAATATTTCTTCAATTATTTTCTAATTTTCAATTTACCCCCCACCCCACTCTCACCCACCCACTCCCCCATCCCCTATAACAAATAGATCGTAAAAATAAGAGATAAACGATAGATAAACTTCTTTCAATGGAACATGAAACTATTGTTACTAGGTACAGTAACACGTGATTAACAATATTTTAAATGGGGGAGGGGGGAGAGAGGGAGCAAGAAAGAAAGGGAGAGAAAGCCAATTAATTCAATTCATGTATATTAGATTATTAGGGCATAGATTCATTGCATAGATAAGCAGTAGTTTTCTTTATTTATTCGAAAGTATAAATAAATAAATAAAAAGAAGAAGAAAAAAAAGAAATCTGATTATTGATTTTTTTTATTACATAATGAAACTATAGTGAACAATAGTTAACTTGGAAATAGACTAAGTTCAATTCAAATAGAGCAAGAACAAACATTGATGCAGAATAGTATGAATTCATATTATTTCGAGGTTTCTCGTCAGCTGCTTACAAACCAAAATTGTGATAGAATTTTTACATGGAGATAGTGTGAAACAATTGACATAAATGAGTGTAAATAACGTGATTACAATAATAACTATATATATATATGCTAGAAACAGGTCAGAGGTCAAAAGAGGGGGATTAATCCAGGGTGGGTGGTGTAATAATTTAGTGAAGTTCATAAATTGTGTGATAATTGTAGAGATTAATGGAATTAAATAATGATAAGGTAGATTACGTAATAATAAATAAGTAGGGTTTGGAAAGTTAAGATGATTTAAGAGGATCAGGTGACGGAAATGTGTGAATAAAATTTATTTTTATTTTTAGAATCAGGTAATAGGGGGGGAGTATAAATTATCTTAGAATAAGTAAATGAATAAAATAACCAAAACACAAAACAAACAGAAACAAAAAGATTACCAGGGTAGTGATAAGTTAATTAAAGTCTCTTTTTGGATGCATAAGTCCGGTTTCAGTTTCTTAATTGCAATGGCTTCAGCAAAGCGGAGAGTGGCAGTAGTTCTTTGTCTATTGATTATTTTAAACGCGTGCATAATATCGACGGTGTGCCCGGTGTCAAGTAGATGCCGAGCTATTGCACTGTTAAAAGCTTTAGTCCCTCGCAACGTCAAGTTCTTCGGAATATGCTCAGAAATGCGAACCTGTACTCTTCTCTCAGTTCTTCCAATGTATGTGCTACGGCACGTACATGTGAATTGGTAAATGCAGTTGGAGCAACTGAGGGGAGAGGACTTGTCGATTTTCGTTTGCTTCAGTGAGCAGTGTGTTTTCCATAACGTAGTCAGTTTGGCTGCCGGGTAGGTCACTTTTAAAGCGGAATTAATTCTGTGATTGATAATTCCGGCGACTTCATCTCCTTTGAAGCGTAAGGATAGGAAGCAGGTTTTCTTTTCAACTGTATCATGCTTAATCGGAGGGTTTGTATTAGCATATTTGTGGATGAATTTATCCGGATATGCATTTTCACGTAGGCATTTGGTGATTGTAGTAATTTCTTCTTCGAGGCATTCTTTTGAATATTTATATCAACAACTGTCGGACTTTAAACCCATGAACGACGAAAAGCACAGTTGGTTTAAATCTAAATTAGTGGATATCACAAACCAGTATGTTACGACACCAATCCCACACTCAAGGGTGTTCACCGAAGACCACCATCAAGCATTGGAGAAACTTATTAAAGACGAAACAATAATGCTACTTCGTCCGGATAAGGGTTCCAGTGTAGTCATTCTTAATAGAGATGAATATATCAATAAGGTAATGACCATTTTAAATAACTCCACCAGATTTATCATTGATAATACCCAGAAAGACCTAACAGATGCGACAGAGAAACGTGTCTTAAGAAAGTTGAGAGAACTTGTTAAGAAAAATCTAATAGATAATCATACGTATAACGAACTTAAACCAAAAGGGTCACAATTGCCATACTTATATGGGCTACCCAAAACACATAAACCCGACGTCCCTATAAGACCAATATTATCGATGGCCAAATCACCTTTCCATAAACTTGCCCGCTGGCTTACTAGATGCTTGGAACCAATCCGCAAAAAACTAGCAGCCTACAGTTTGAAAGACAGCTTTGAATTTGTACAAAAACTTGAAAACCTTAATGTCTCTGACAAATTCATGGTTTCATTTGATGTCTCTTCGCTTTTCACAAATATCCCCTTGGAAGAAACAGCAGAGATCATATGTGAATATCCAGAACTCCTGCCTTTACCACCCCAGGAATTTAAACAGCTCCTGTTTTTGTGTACAAAAAACATACAATTTAAATTTAACAATGTTTTGTACCGACAGATTGATGGAATAGCAATGGGCAGCCCTCTAGGCCCAATTCTTGCCGACATATTTATGGGACATCTGGAACAAAAGAAACTGAAGCACGCAATCGACAGTACCACACTCTACTGCAGATATATGGATGACACGTTCCTTGTCTGCAAAAATCACCAACACTCCATGTACCTACTTAGTCTGTTCAATAAAGTACACAAAGATATAGAATTTACCATGGAACATGAAGTTGATGATAAATTCCATTTCCTAGATATTGGAATTAGGCGAACATCAGACGGCACACTACAAAGACACATTCACCGCAAAAATACTTGGAGCGGAGTTTATCTCAACTTTAACAGCTTCTGTCCAATGAGTTATAAAAAGGGTATTGTGCGAAACCTTTTTGACCGCGCACGAAAAATCTGCTCAAAAGAATGCCTCGAAGAAGAAATTACTACAATCACCAAATGCCTACGTGAAAATGCATATCCGGATAAATTCATCCACAAATATGCTAATACAAACCCTCCGATTAAGCATGATACAGTTGAAAAGAAAACCTGCTTCCTATCCTTACGCTTCAAAGGAGATGAAGTCGCCGGAATTATCAATCACAGAATTAATTCCGCTTTAAAAGTGACCTACCCGGCAGCCAAACTGACTACGTTATGGAAAACACACTGCTCACTGAAGCAAACGAAAATCGACAAGTCCTCTCCCCTCAGTTGCTCCAACTGCATTTACCAATTCACATGTACGTGCCGTAGCACATACATTGGAAGAACTGAGAGAAGAGTACAGGTTCGCATTTCTGAGCATATTCCGAAGAACTTGACGTTGCGAGGGACTAAAGCTTTTAACAGTGCAATAGCTCGGCATCTACTTGACACCGGGCACACCGTCGATATTATGCACGCGTTTAAAATAATCAATAGACAAAGAACTACTGCCACTCTCCGCTTTGCTGAAGCCATTGCAATTAAGAAACTGAAACCGGACTTATGCATCCAAAAAGAGACTTTAATTAACTTATCACTACCCTGGTAATCTTTTTGTTTCTGTTTGTTTTGTGTTTTGGTTATTTTATTCATTTACTTATTCTAAGATAATTTATACTCCCCCCCTATTACCTGATTCTAAAAATAAAAATAAATTTTATTCACACATTTCCGTCACCTGATCCTCTTAAATCATCTTAACTTTCCAAACCCTACTTATTTATTATTACGTAATCTACCTTATCATTATTTAATTCCATTAATCTCTACAATTATCACACAATTTATGAACTTCACTAAATTATTACACCACCCACCCTGGATTAATCCCCCTCTTTTGACCTCTGACCTGTTTCTAGCATATATATATATAGTTATTATTGTAATCAAGTTATTTACACTCATTTATGTCAATTGTTTCACACTATCTCCATGTAAAAATTCTATCACAATTTTGGTTTGTAAGCAGCTGACGAGAAACCTCGAAATAATATGAATTCATACGATTCTGCATCCATGTTTATTCTTGCTCTATTTAAATTCATAAAGGGAACTAATTGCATGTAAGTTCAATTCACTTGGTATTGTTTTGTACTTGTATCTTCCCATTGAGGTTTAACACTGCAATTGATCAGTCTGTTATTGGCATATGTGCATACTGTGCACGTATGCCTCGATATTCAATGTTAATAATATCCATGTATTGTATAAGAGAAATGTGTATTATACTATTTGATCAATCAAAATAGGTTATTATTTCCCTAGTTTTCTAGGTATATAATATACCCCATATAGGTTAGGATAATTTTACATTGGTTTACAAGAGAACCAGATATCAGTACAGTTGAATACCTTTTCTCAAAAGAACCAAATATCATCCAGGATCAAACTCTATAAGTCTAGTATTCAGTATTTATTAAATCTTACCGATCAATTTCTATTATGATAGTCAAGTTAAATAGCTAATATATTATAGTTTAATTTGATTACCACATAGTTGATAGAATGTTATTTACTTACTTGCTTACTTACGCCTGTTACTTTCAATGGAGCATAGGCCGCCGACCAGCATTCTTCAGCCCACTCTGTCCTCGGCCTTCTTTTCTAGTTCCATCCAATTCTTGTTCACTTTTCTCATATCTGTTTCCATTTGTCGGCGTAATGTGTTCTTTAGTCTTCCTCTTTTCCTTTGGCCTTGAGGGTTCCAAATGAGGGCTTGTCTTGTGACACAGTTGGGTGCTTTCCTCCATGTGTGTCCTATCCACTTCCAGCACTTCTTCCTGATTTCTTCCTCCACTGTAATCTGGTTTGTTCTCTCCCATAGCAGTAGGTTGTTGTTGATAGTGTCTGGCCAACGGATCCGAAGTATCAGATAACCATTTTACTATTATTATAGATCGGTTCCAACAATGTCTGACCATCGGATCCGAAGTATTCTACGTAAACAGCTGTTAATAAACATTCGTATCTTCTGGATGATAGCTCTCGTAGTTTTCCAGGTTTGCGCCTCATACAGTAGAACTGTCTTGACATTTGTATTGAAAATCCTGACCTTGGTGTTGGTTGACAGTTGCTTTGAGTTCCAGATGTTCCTCAGTTGTAAACATGCTGCTCTTGCTTTGCCGATCCGTGCCTTCACATCTGCATCAGATCCACCCTGTTCATCAATGATGCTGCCCAAATATGTAAAGGTTTTTACATCTTCCAAATCTTCTCCATCAATTGTGATTGGATTGGTGCATGTTGTGTTGTATCGGAGAATCTTGCTTCCCTCTTTTTGTATATTGAGACCAACTGCTGCTGAGGCTGCTGCTACACTGGTCGTTTTCTCCTGCATTTGCCGTTGCGATTACGATAGAAGGGCCAGATCATCTGCGAAGTCTAGATCGTCCAGCTGCATCTTAGATGTCCACTGTATCTCGTGTTTGATAAGATGTACTAGATAAGAAAAATTATTTCAGTATGAAGTATACAAAGAAATACGACTTTGAAAAAATAAAGTACTATAAATGAACTCACATTTTATATTACATGACCACGTGTATACAAATACTGTTAAGGAATTTCGTACTGACTAACTTCTCGCACTAGGAGTGTTGTTTACGAAATTAAGAGCACGAAATGCGAATGTTCGGCTATTTAACCGGGTTGTTAGACACGGAGGGTCCTACTAAAGGAGTTAGAAAACCCTCATTCCAAACTAATGGTGTACATGAGCTTTAGGATCTCAAAGGAATAAATGGCGTATGAATCTATTGTTGATCATCGGCTACCATAAGACTACATCTGCTAACTTTGCTTCATCATCTTGTAGATCAGACCTGAAGGTTGAAGGTTTGTGGTAAACCCTCCTTAAGAAAACCATTTGCTTCGGTTCAGGTACTGGAGCAATAGCGCAGCCCACATACAAATCAAGTGACTTGTGTGGTGTATATGTATTCGGTGCACCCTTGTACCAGTATTTATGTGTTCAGATAAATAAATGTTAAATATTCATATAGATATTCCCTAATGTATACTGCTGAAACTCGGAGAACTACAACAACCACAATCAAGAAAGTACCAGTATTTATAAATAGCTGTCTTCGCAAAATACTAAACATCCATTGGCCGGATACCATCAGCAACAGCCTTTTGTGGCAGAGAACAAATCAGCTTCCATCTGAAGAAGAAATTAGGAAAAGACGATGGGAATGGATAGAACATACATTACGCAAATCGTCAAACTGCATCACGAGACAAGCCCTAACTTGGAATCCTGAAGCAAAGCGGAAAAGAGGAAGGCCAAAGAACACATTACGTCGGATAATAGAAGCAGATATGAAAAGGATCAATAGGAACTGGAAGGGGCTGGAAAGGATTGCCCAGGACAGGGTTGGATGGAGAATGCTGGTGAGCGGCCTATGCTCCTTCACGAGAAGTAACAGGCGTAAGTAAGTAAGTAAGTAGTACTGCATTTTCAAAAGATTTTCATTGTAAAATATATGAGATTCAGTCATGATTATCGATACTATTATTATGTTAATATACATGTAGATGTAGACAGTGGTGGTAATGTACACGGACCAATGGATCAACGACATACTGCACGATTAGGAAATATTAGTCGTAGTGGTCAATTCATTCCTGGATCACGTTATTATCTTGGTGATAATATAACAAGTGAACGGTTTAAACGACGTCAATCTGATAGTGGTGCATGGGATTCTCGTTCAGAAAGTAAGCAGTTTTATCAAATGGTATAACATTCATGAAATATATTTTAGAATTCTAAATTATAATGTTATTCATCGTGAAGAAGTAGCTTTCATTTTGTTAGAATCTTACGATGTCATCTATTCAAAAAGGTTTACAATTTCTTATTCTTAATATTCATGACTGAAGTCATGGATCCTTAATTGTATATAAGGTCTATAAATAGATATCATAATAGTGGAGAAGATTTGTAGCTCAGGTGGATGATTTCGGTGGAGTTTTGTTCTCTGAGCTGGATGGTTTGGTCGTGGAGCTTTCATCGTTCTTCTGAACGAAATTATAAGCACAAACTTTAGATAGAAGTGAAGTGTTTAAATTTCTCCATATGTGTTTCACAGCTTGTTCTGTGCACCTCGATGTTGATTGGTTCTTATTGACCTTTATAGCGAATCCAAATTTTTGGCTTGGTCACTGCTAATGTCGAGGCTTCTAGTCTTTGCATCACTGTCTCTGCGATCAGTCCTGATATTGGTGATCCCATTGGTGTCCCTTTCGTTTGTTCGTAGATTTTGTTGTTGAACTGAAAATATGTTGTTAGGCATAAATCGATGAGTTCCAGTAGACTTTGAATTCGAAGCTTCGTGTATTTAGTGAGATTTGTGTCGTTGTTGAGCAGCAGAGATAAGAACCAATCAACATCGGGGTGCACAGAACAAGTTGTGAAATACATATGAAGAAATTCGAACACTTCACTTCTATATGAAATTTGTGCTGATGATGCCGTTCAGAAGAACGATGAAAGCTCCACGACCAAACCATCCAGCTCAGAGAACAAAACTCCACCAATATCATAATGGTCTCTTCGATTTCAATATGGAATATATCATTTTTTGTATAAGGCTCTAATCCCATGTAAAATATAGACTTCATACAATTAGAGATTTCTTCTATAATGCTAGCCTTATTTATATGGTTGTTTCAATGATGAATCGAACCTAGTGTCAATCACTATGACCAGCGGTACTTTACTGTAAAGACGTATGAATTAGTACATTTATTTTGTTTCAAAAATCCAATACATTTTTATTTGATTGAGACTATAAATCGATTAATGTTAGACCATTATTGAAAACTTGGAAGTACTGGACGGTTGTTTCGTCCTATTATGAAACTCCTTAACAGTGAGCATCCACAATCACAGTCTAATATCGATCGAGTCATGATCTCAGTCAATAACTTATCTTGTTCAAATCAATGGTCTATGACTTCATATTACTAATGATGTGTTCTAATGCCTTGTTCAATTCATTCTTATAGTGGCTAATATAAAACTATCATTATAAGTCAGATTAAACAGAGGCTATGAATACATAACACATTTTAGTATGTTAAACCTATAGGAGATATAATCGTGAAATTCATGAATCGATTCAAGTTAGACTATCATGATAAACCTGGAAGTACTAGACGATCGTTTCGTCCTTGCATGGGACTCCTCAGCATTGCTGAATATGAAGAAAATAACCATGATCTTTTCAATCTTTCAGATTAATTGAAAAAATGCGTTACAAATTATCAGTACAATGGTCACAGTATGTAATCAATAGGGTTAGCATGTTAATTATTGATATATGGAACATCATGTTACATAATTAGTGTTAATAGTATAGATTAAGTTCAATGAATGAAGACAAACTAGTATGTAGATAAAAACATGCTATCAACCTATGAAATCATTTCACTGTTGAATTACATCATGTTAAGAGATGTCAAGTACCTAGTCAGTCATAGGCAACATAGGTCATAGCATGAATGTTGATCCATTCACATTTCTATCTGAAGTTTGTGCTGATGATGTCGTTCAGAAGAACAATAAAAGCTCCATGACTAAACCATCGAGCTCAGAGAACAAAACTCCACGAAAATCATCCACCTGAGCTACAAATCTTCTCCACCATCTCAACATTTCAACGCCATATCACAACAAAGGAATGCAGGATTGGTAGAAACTGTATATATATCAATGGTAGTCACTACCCATCTTTACTTTGCACATAGTTGTTTAAATTATCATTTGATGAAACTAAATGTATCATTTATTGAATTCATTCATTCATTCATTCATTCATTCATTCATATCTATTTACTTTTTAGTTCATAATCATCATGTTCACAATGAATTTCGTAGTCGTACTTATTCTGAAACTAGACGTTTAAATGAATACTCTGATAATTCAATGTCTACACGTTATCATAATCAATCAAATCAACAACCATATTATAAGACAACTGCATCACATAATATATCAAATCATTCACCATCACATACACATATATCACGTTGGTCATCAATGCAAACAACTGGTACACAAGGATTATGGAGAGGAACTAGTGGTGGACGATATGCTACTACTTTAACAAGGCAACATATTAAAAAACATCATGATCCAATTGAAATGGTAGTTAAGCATACAGTGAGTTTAAATGATTTTTTATAATTGACTTATATGTGAAGTATGTTTGCTCAACAATTGAAGCTAGACCATTATGAGAAACCTGGAAGCATTGAAAGGCCGTTTCATCCTATTGTGGGACTACCTCAGCAGTGTGCATCCACAATTCCGCCTTGAGAGATTCGAACCCACGACTTATCGGTCTCGTACGCGAACGCTTAATCTTTAGACTACTGAGCCGGTCAATACCCAATGATGTTAATGTCTAACTTCAACTAATCCACGAAATTGAGTGACACATCCACCATTATCTTCAGTATGTTACTATCTCATAATAGACCCGGCTGAACTCCACTGGTCACTGCTTCTCACTAGAACTCCAGGAAATACCTCTTGGAGACCGTCACTAATGATCATATGATGATTATAATTAGAGAGGGATTTTGTGGATAATATAGTAATTTAATAGTTGAACTCATCAGTCAATTGAAGCTAGACCGTCATGGAAAGCCTTGAAGCACCGGACGGTCGTTTCGTCCTAGCATGAGACTCCTTAGCAGTGGTTATTATTATAACGGAACGAATATGCTTAAAGTTGAGTAAGGGTAGGATGTAATAAAACCATGGGTGGTCAAGCTATAATGCGACATTAATCCATGAAATCATTTACAATTAGACTGAGTCATTTTAACAAGTGTTGACTACGTTGTTGGGTTCCACATGATCATAGCGCACGTGTATCCACTACTTGTTTGCTATTATATTCTAACTTACTAAACTCCTCATAAATCGATTTTATTATTTGATTGATTTATGTAGTCTCTGACTGTATTTTAGATGCCAAATACTTTCTATTACCATGAATTCTGTTACTATCTATACTACTATGAGATTTACTCTAAACAGTTTCATCTGTTTAATGTTAATGAGCTATGACAACTTGAACTGATGTAACATACATACCAAGTTTTGCGTTGCAATTGACTAATTGACATTACTAATTAGTTATTGTTATAACGGAACAAATATTACAAAAGTTGGAACTGGTTTTTTTCACTTACCTAAAGTCTCCTTTAGTCATAGAAACTCTTAGCTTATTCATGTATAATTGTAAATTGTTTATTATTATATGACGTAATGCTGTCCAACACTTCTGTATCTAAGTTACGTCTATTTAAAATGTAAATGTAACAGAAGGTGAGGTAATTTGGTGAATGGTGGTTACATAGTTGGGGTTCAGTATAAAAATTTCACTGGTTGTAATCATGAGTCAATTGAAGTTAGACCACTATGGAAAACCTGGACGGCTGTTTCGTCCTATTGTGGGACTCCTCAGCAGTGTGCATCCGCGATCCCACTCCCCGCGAGATTCAAACCCAGGACCTATCAGTCTCACACACGAGCGCCTAACCATTAGACCAATGAGCCGGTCGGTATCCACCGGTGTTATTGTCTAACTTCAACCAATCCACTGATGTCAGTTTATGATGAAAATCCTAAATTTAATTTCTATCCGTTAACTATCAACCGTAAATCATAATTCTAATTTCTCACACTAGTTTATAACCCTTATTTAAGCCCCAGTAAGTAGGTGGACAGTCTCAAGGTCACTTTGATGTCACTCAAAGGTTATGCATTCATTATAGTTTCCCTATACTATTCTTTTATGAAGTAGCATTAGATGAATAGACAGGAGAGGTTTAGCAATAAGAATACTTCAAACAAGTGAGTTGATTTCATGATATGATCTGAATATTCATCATTTCAAATTATCAACTTTATAAGTTTCAGTAGCTTATTATTCAATCAGAAGGATCAACTACAATCTTGTATGCAATGATGGATAGTGGCTAGCAGTAGAATTCAGGACGCACGTTCCGTCCTATTTGGGACTCGTCAGCTGAATGTACAGGCACCTCAGAGTTGATGTTCACTCTGGGAGTCAAACCCAGTACCATTCGCCTCAAAAAACCATCGCAGGTACATCTAGCTGACGAGTCCGAAATAGGACGAAACGTGCATCAAACTAGATTTCACTGTTAGCCACTATCCATCATTGTTTACAAAAAGCTTGTGAATTATGGCAATATCGAGGCAATACGCACAGTATGCACATATGCCAATAAACGACTGATCAATTGCAGTGTTAAACCTCAATGGGAAGTTACAAGTACAGAACAATACCAAGTGAATTTACAATCTTGTAATTTTTTTTTCTTTTTTACTATTTTAAAAAAAAATCTTTATAAAGCCATCAGCTGGTGCATCAAGAGTAGATTTACTTTCAGTAGATAATCGTCAAGGTAGTTTACCACATTTAGCCGCTTATTCAATTCATAATACAGGAGGAATAAGTGAACGTGAACAAAAATTACAAAATGAATTATTAAATACACAACGTGAATTACAACACTTAAAACGTTCAAGAAGTTTAACTGGTGATCAAAATTTAACTCATTCAACTACATTAAAACAAACATTGAAATCAGGTTCTAGTCAATATTTAAATGATGGATTTTGGACAACGTATAGTTTAAAAAAGTAAGTTATTATCATTTATTGATTTATTTGAACATAAGTCACTTGGTTTATGATACTGATCGGGTGTCCAGATCGAAAGAGGTCAATCCCTGAGTTATCGACTTAAAGGACTAATCCACAAGAAAGTGGGGCAACGTCATGAGATGCAATCCTATGGTAGCCAGTGACCAATATTTGGTTCATACACCATTTGTCCCTTCAAGATCCTGGAACCCATGTGCAAGATTGGTTTGAAATGAGGGTTTTCCAACTCCCCTATATGGATCTTACATATCCATTAACCTCGTTAAAGCATCTGCCGGACATTTGCTTTTCATTTTCTCAATTTTGTAAACAACACCCGTGGTACTGGGAGGCAATGTGTAGGACTTCCCTGGGAGTGACTGTGTACACGTGGCTACGTGAGAACATTTGGAGAGGGAGAGCTAACTTTTCCCACCCTCGGCTGTACCAGAGTATTTGGGGTCAAGTTACTATAAACATATTTATGGGTTACTGTTTATAATGAAGTAGGTTGTATAATTACACAAAACAGATAATAAAAATATACAGTTTAATAGAATAATGAAATGATAAAGTATATAGGGTAATAGCTAATTAGGTAGAAAAGTGTATAGAAAGAACTCCAGAGTAGGGGTTGTCCAGAATATTAAGTTTTTAGTTGAAATCATGAACCGATTTATATTAGACCACCGTTGGAAATCTGGAAGCACTGGACGACCGTTTCTTCCTATTGTGGGACTCCTCAGCCGCCAAGTGCCTCAAGATTTCCAACGGTGGTCTAACATCAATCGGTTCATGATCTCAAGCAGAAAGAATTGCTTTGAGTGTAAAATAGTTATATTTCTACAGTTTTAAACTCATCTGTTATAAAAGAAATCTGATCAGATTTCTTACAAACAGAACAAAAACAATCCGATCAGAGGATACCATAATGAATGAGTTGAAGTTTACTAATGGGATGTTGACGAATATGGTTTACTATTAAAGCTTTTTCAATGAAGTATATATATACAAAGAGAAAAGAGAAAGGTACTGGTGATATAGTTCAATCATATGAAACCTCTTTTCTTAAAACTACAATTCAACGGAGATGTAACTGCCAATGTCCCGTATCATAAATTATTGATAGCAGTTGAAAGGATATGTTTTACATAGTTAACCTTCAGTTGATATTTTCTGACCGATCAATAATATCTATTCAAACAATAAGTAAGTTACTTGAGTTTACTTCCTATGTGTATCTACACATTCGGCTGTTCTTGTGGAGATAGATATACTGAGCATACTATCGGGCAACTTAATCAAACTAGAAGCTCTCAAATGTTATTCTTAATTGAGATTAGTAAAACATATTTGTATAACTACTCCTGTGGTGTGTGCTATTGATGTCGACAGATATCAGTAGTATGTATGATCAATAAAAAGTGATATACCTGGCAATAGAAGATTAAGAAGATCGACGAGAACAGAATGAGAATAGAAAGTGATTGGTATGAAAATGAAGAAACAGTCAAGTCTAAGACAATGGACTAATACTTTTCTACTGAAATGTTTACTGTATGATTCTCAGATTTTACTAAGATGTTCTGTAATTTTGTCCTCAATTGTATGTTTTCATTCACTACAGAACTACTGATACAAAACCAAAGTCTAAGATATCTTAACAACTGATTTTTACTATGAAACGACGATATTTATGCTTGTCCCTGTAGAAATATTTAAACTGTAGATAATGTGAATACATACTGGAAATGAAGAATCGAAAGAGTTTTACAATACCGAAGATTTCTCTATAGATCTAAATTGTTATGAATAGATGTTACTTTCTCAATATTTTAGACAAATTCTATATAGGCCGCTCACCAGCATTCTCCATCCAACTCTGTCCTGGGCAATCCTTTCCAGCTCCTTCCAGTTCCTACTGATCCTTTTCATATCTGCTTCTATTTCCCGACGTATTGTGTTCTTTGGCCTTCCTCTTTTACGCTTTTCTTCAGGATGAATTTTAGAAGTGAAAATTCACAGACTATATCAGAGTTATTGTTAGTTGATATGCTTGAATGCTATTACAAGTTCATCTTACTCGGTAAACGAAACGAACTTCAAAGATACACTGACGCGATAGGCTATTCTAATTCATTTTCCTCAACCCTGCTAACTAGATTAAGAAGTCTTGATGAGGCGTAGAGAATGTTTCTACAAGCACACAGAAAATACGAGGTCAATAAGCAGAGAAATCAAGCTTATTTATACAATGATAGAAATGCCCTTGAGAGAGCCATAAAATAGCGTACTAGAAAAAATCCGTCAACCAATGATAGTCAATGATTTCTGAGTGGGAAATGTCAGCTGTAGGTCAACTAAGCGTCTTTTGGAGTGAAAACATAAGATTCAAATTTTCAGGATAAAATTAAAAAACTAGGACCTTTTCCAAGTGAATTTTGAGGATTTAACGTCCTCAACATCAGTAATCTATGTTAAGATAGTGGTTGGAGGTAGTCAATAAGAAACCTTGGACATGGGTTTCATGCTACTTGGCACTTGTCACCAAGGTGTACTTGAAATCTTGAGGGAACCAATGCTCCCTGATGGATTCGATCCCGTGTCACCCAGTTTCACAGTCGACAGGATTCGATATTCACTAAGAAAGACCTGAAACACCTGATATTGATCACCACCCCGTAATACTGTTAGTAATCATTTTGAACAATAAAATTAGGCTTTTAATCATATTTCTTAATAGTACTGGTTATATAAAAATCACTGGTTGGAAACCATTCTTAACTTCAGTTATTATTTCGTTGTTATACACTTATTCTATTAGCGAAAACAGATGGTCATTGGATGACCCATCATAAATGGAATCCCAGCCTCATAGAAGGAGCTATTTCTTTTTTAGGCTGACGAATTGAGGTGCCATAGTTTGTATTTAATATTCAGTCAATGGAATGATCATTTTTATTGCCTGATTGAACTTGGTAGTTCTCAGTTTCTTAGAGTAACTTGCTGTTCTTTAGTTAGTCTGTAGCTGATAAATAACGATTAGGAAGTGATCTATTATATTTCAACGTTTCCTTCTAATAATTATTGTATTGATCTGACTGTAATCAATTATATGAATATGTCCCTTTTTCATGTAACTTTGTTTATAATTTCGAAATATTTTTGATTGAGATAATGAATAGAGCAGTGTTAGACAGCTATTGGACAGCCATTTTGTCCTTACAGGGGACTCTTCAGCAATGCAGATGCACGATTCCGCACGCGGGGCTCGAACCCGGAACCTTCAGTTCCACGAGCGAACCCTTAACTTCTAGACCATGTTAATGTGTAACTTTAACCAATCCACGAAATTTTCATTGGTAGTCTAACATTTATCAATTTATAGTCTCAATCAATCTCCATAATTCTATACTGATAATTCAATGTTTTCTTATTATTAAAATGAAAAGGAATGAAGGTCAACCATGTGGTGCACGTATTGCAGGTAAGTTATTCTATAATCACGATAGTGACTACCACAAACTATTGAGAATAAAAATTTCAAAAACCAAAATAACAGAATCTGATCTGATATTCTCAGTTCACAGAATAAAGACAAAGAATGAAATAGTTGAAATCATGAGTCAATGGAAGCTAGACTACCATGAAAAACCTAGACGCACTGGACGACCATTTCGTCCTATTGTGAGACTCCTCAGCAGTGCTCATTGTGGATAGGACGAAATGGCTGTCTAGTGCTTCCAGGTTTTCCATGGTGATCTACTTTCAATTGGCTCATGAGCTCAACTGTTGAAATTGCTACAATCTCCGCAAAAAACCCCTTCTGATACTAAAGAATAAACAGACAATAAACATTGCATGGTTCGTTTATTTTTCAACCTTGATTCTAGCATGTTGCATTTCTAATGTCAAGGTCAATAACTATCCATTGTTGTTGTTGTGTTTTTTTTAATATTTTTGTTCTGAAATATTTCATTTGTGCATAATTTATTGATATACCTATATTTGTATGCATGTAGTAACTAACTGGCAATGGTCAAGATTGTTTACGTAAACAAGGGTTTGTGTTCGCTCTCTCTCTCGCTCGCTCCCTCTCTCTCTCTCTCTTTCTTTTTCATTTCTTCGAGCCAAATGGTATTATATAGGTCAATATTTCATTTGGATAAACCAATGCATATTTATCACGTTAACAATAAATCAACAAAGTCAATCAGCAATATTCTTGGTATTTTCTATACAGTATAGTGAAAACAGTAAGTGTTACAATATTTTTGTAATCTATAATTGAGGTATGTTTGTGTTGTGTGCGTGTGTATCTGTGTGTGTGTGTGTATGGATGGATACGTGGGTGTTGGTTGATATATGTTCTAATGTTTATGTAATTAAGGGCCCAGTAACGATACGAATTAACTAAATAATCGAAATCAATTTGATGGAATGTAATCATAGTTCTTCTTTGCCAAAAACTTCTCTCGTTTTCTTTCTCTTTCTCTCTCTCTCTCTCTCTTTCATATACCATCTAAATGACACTACAAAAAAGAAGAGTAAAAGAAAAGAAAGAAATTCCAAGTTTTTTTTGTTATTTTGAACTTTACTCATCAATAGATAATGATTTTAATAGTTGAGATCGTGAGTCGATTGAAGTTAGACCACTATAGAAAACCTGGAAGTACTGGACCGTCGTTTCATCCTAGTGTGGGACTCTTCAGCAGTACGCATCTATGACTCTGCCTCACGAGATTTGAATCTAGGACCTATCAGTCACTTGCACGAGAGCTTAGTCTCTAGATCAGTGAGCAGGTATTCAACAATGTTAATGTCTAATTTTAACTAATCCATGAAATTGAGTGATACGTCCATCATTGACTCATTATCTCAACTCTTAAAATTATTCTAATATACACAAAATGCCCTTCTAATAAAAATAAGTAATCAATCGGATTTATTGAACTTAGTTGTTATTTGTGGATGCACTTTTAATCATAAACTAATCATTGCTGGATTACAATTGAATACTTTAAAACACTGGATGGTTGTTTCGTTCTAATGTGCAAACGAACAACCTTACCACAGGAAGTTGAACTCAGAGCTTTGAACCTTTTGTGATCATTCATCTCAACTGATAGAAGTTTTTGAGATTTCCTGGTAGTATGAAACTATGAGTTCACATAAGATTTGACTTTCGACCTTCAAAGAAAATTTGATTTTTCGTACTTTCAATTCTGATCTCTTAAATTCTTAGTAGTAAATTTTGTTTAAGACATGGAAAACATCCACCGTTAGATTTCGGCTCAATGGTTCAGTAGTTAAAGGGTTAGAGAGTAAGATCGAAGGTCCCGGGTTCGAATCCCTGCATCGTGGTCATGGATGTGTACAAAAACGATCATCTAGTGCTTCTAAGTTTTAAGTTTTGTGATTGAGATCTTGAACTGATTGATGTTAGACCAACATTGAAAACCTGTAAGCACTAGACCGCCGTCTCGTCCTATTGTGGAACTCTTCAGCAGTGCTCATTCACGATCCCGTATTGTGGGATCGGAACCCAATGCCTTCTGTCTCACTCGCGGACGCTTAACTTATGGACCACTGAGTTGGTATATAGCGTTGTTAACGTCTAACGTCAATCAATCCACGCAATTGTGCGACCATCTTCCATTGTACTGAGGTAGATACCTATCTCTACCCAACACGGATTAGCTCCACTGGTCAGGGCTTCTAACTAGAACTTCGAGAATTCCTTCAAGAATGTAGTTAGTTTTGATCTAACAAAGATCACTTGATGATCTGAGCTATGAAAATTAAATAGACTGTTGAAATACAACCTTTTTAACTTTGGTAATCAGACCTAATATAACCATCACTCTAATTAGGATAATAGTTGGTGTAATCAATGATTGGAGAATTATCAATGACAATGATCAAATTATTTAGTATCCAGCTAAACACTTCCATTGACTAGAAATAATCACAGTTTTGAACTCTTCCAATTGATGCAACTGGCGTTTGTGAACAAGAACTCAGTTGGGGCCAACCCAATTTATTATTCAATGGTCAATTACATAGTTCTTTGGCAAATTGTAAAACCTATTATACATTAATTACTTTATTTACAAATGTTTCATCAATTGTCCTTTATATTGTTCATGATTCTTTCAATTCACAATTCAGTCCTGTTTTCTACATTTCAATCTTCTCAATCTTCTTTTAACAGGCATCCAACATTGGGTTGGTGTTATATGCTACTTATATCTGTCAACATTAGTAGTATACCTCATATAACTTCTATCCCAATACAGAAGAGAATTTGGGATATTTATTTTTTGTGGTAAGTATTCTACCATTTAATCATTCAGTTACTAACCAATTGATTCGTGGCATAATAGTACACAAGTATTATAAAAATGTATTAGTGTCCAATGACAAATCATCAGATAATACTAACTCTACAGGTCATAATTTATGAATGAAAATGGAAAAAATCCATTTTAAAAGTATGTCCTTATCTAATTCAGTCAATCAGTCAGTAGCAATGTAGAACTTCGTACGTACGTACATCAGTTCGAGTTGCCATACCACATTAGCACAGAGATGCAGTTGTCGATTCAAATCCCATACTGATAGAGGTAGTGAGAGTATAAGCAGTAATCGGAAAGATTAGGGTTTGAAGATGTTATTCAAGGAGTATAATCCAGTGAAATAAATTTGGAAAGAGAAGAAAATAAAGGGACATGAAGAATTCAGAAGATTAGAATTTGAGAGAACACAAAGAGTGGATGCACTTGCACCATTGCAAACGATCTAATTCAAGCTATGAATTCTAATTTGTTAGGTATTAAACCAGACTTTAATCAGTGTTATGCTTATTTTGAAGCCTAAACATAATAGACCTGATTAAATCTACCGTCACGAATAGTATATACTACTGAGATGTCTCACTATTGTATTGTTAATGCAATCGTTTATATAAATTACACTTTTCCCAAAACTAAGATCATGGGTTCGACTCCTGGGTGGTGATTTGTGAACATGTATTACTGAAGAGTCCTATGTTAGGACGAAACAGTTATCCTTTGTCTTCAAGTGTCAAATGGTTATCTACCTTAAACCAGTTCGTGATATCAGTAAAATGGAATAATCTCTACAATCCTATATTGGTAATTAAAACTGTTGCTATAGGGTTAGTTATTATGTGATACTCTGTTCTAATTTCATTAGTAATATCATTTTGGCTATGCTCTATGCCAAGACTATTACATCGCGTTAAGTAATACATCATCTATATATATATATATCTGAATCATCGTAATTGACAACGTATAATGAAATTGGAATTTATAATGTCACATGGTATCTTATTCACAAAAGCGTATACACGTCCCGTAAATGTAATTCTATTGTGATTAAACGATACGATTTAATTGGTTTATTCTGGTTACCGTTTTTTAGCAAAGTTGTTTTCTACGGGATGTGGTTACCGACCCTATACCCAGTCCTCTTTCTTTACTTGGGCTTGATACCGGCAGTAGCCCTAGAAGAGCTACAGGAGGTGTGGAGGATATGATGCAGACGTAAAGGCGAGAATTGACATAGTAACGACATCATTCCTACAATTGAAAAACATATGCAACTTAAAACAAATGTCTTTTAAAAATTATCAGTGTCACATTCTTCAATACGAACGTCAACATAGTTCTACTGTGTGGAGCCGGGACTTCGAGAAATACCACAACCATCACAAAAGAAATACAAGTATTTATAGACAATTGTCTACACAAGATACTCGATATCCGTTGACCGGATACCATCAACAACAACGTACTATGTGAGAGAAAAAACCAACTTTCATATGAAGAGAAAATTGGGAAAAGATGTTGGAGGTGAATAGGACATACATTGAGGAAATCATCAAACTGCATTACGAAGCAAGCGTTAAATTTAAATCCTAAAGGCGAAAGGAAAAGAGACCAAAGAACACACTTCGTCAAGCCGTGGAAACAGACATGTAAAGAAGGAATATAAACTGGAAGGGATTGACCAGAAATGAATTGGATGAAGAATGGTGGTGAGTGGCCTATGCTCCTCCATGAGGGGTAACATGCATAATTAAGTAATTAAATAATACAATGTGTAAACTTCTTCATTCTTAATAGTGACGGTATGTTTACTAAGACCTTTTAATGTAGAAATTCCAGATATTTATAAAATAATATTCATCATATCAATCAGAAAATCAATGAAAATCTAACATCATCGGAAAATATTTCAGCGAAGAATCTCGTTGAATGAGGAATAAGATTTCCTTCAATGACGTTGCTATCTATCTATCTATCTATCTATCTATCTATCTATCTATCTATCTATCTATCTATCTATCTATCTATCTATCTATCTATCTATCTATCTATCTATCTATCTATCTATCTATCTATCTATCTATCTATCTATCTATCTATCTATCTATCTATCTATCTATCTATCTATCTATCTATCTATCTATCTATCTATCTATCTATCTATCTATCTATCTATCTATCTATCTATCTATCTATCTATCTATCTATCTATCTATCTATCTATCTATCTATCTATCTATCTATCTATCTATCTATCTATCTATCTATCTATCTATCTATCTATCTATCTATCTATCTATCTATCTATCTATCTATCTATCTATCTATCTATCTATCTATCTATCTATCTATCTATCTATCTATCTATCTATCTATCTATCTATCTATCTATCTATCTATCTATCTATCTATCTATCTATCTATCTATCTATCTATCTATCTATCTATCTATCTATCTATCTATCTATCTATCTATCTATCTATCTATCTATCTATCTATCTATCTATCTATCTATCTATCTATCTATCTATCTATCTATCTATCTATCTATCTATCTATCTATCTATCTATCTATCTATCTATCTATCTATCTATCTATCTATCTATCTATCTATCTATCTATCTTTTTTAAACACATCTATCTCTAAATACCTCCTGTGCTCTCAATCGATAAATCCGATGTTAATTTGCATTTTTGTTGTTACCTGGCAATGAATGTAAACAACCCTTTTCATGTATATCAATTTACTGACTATTACTACTACTACTACTACTAAGCAGAAAGTTTAAAGTCACAAAGGCATTACGTAATCCACATAAAGTAGTCATATCGATTTGTTGATGAATGAATTGATTAAATTTAAGAATCATATGAATGAAACTTGGTATGTCATCAAATGATAGAAATGAACATGGTTTGTTTATAAACAAGACACAATTGAACATTGAATATTTAGACATATGTATATTCATATTTGCGCTTTAATACACAAGGTCAAATTGAAAGGGAAAAAACCCGCTAAAAGATTGGGACAAATGAACTGTTTCATTATGCTCACATAGTACTGTTTACTTGAATCTTCCCATTGATTTTTAGGACTGCCTGAATTCACAAGCAGGACATTGGGCACTTAAAACACCATAGGATGACCAAATCAGTAGAATGTCTTGAGCAAGTCTAAACATTTATAGGTAGTACATAGACAATTATAGCCGATAAGACAATTCGAACTTCGCAGATAACTTAGCCCTTCGATCCAATACACATGAACAAATGTAGATGAAGACACCTAGTGTAGCACCAGCCTCTGTATCAGTAGGCCTCAAAGGAAAAAGTAAGATCCTTAAATACAACATGGAGAACACCAACCCTATCACACTTGATGGAGAAGCTCTGGAGGCGAGATTCTAATTGATGGACGAGACAATCAGAAGCGTTTGAAAGATTTCAAGGTCATGGCGCGGACGTCAGTGCTTAATGCCAACGTACGATCGGTTCACAGGAAATTTTGTACAATACGTGATAACTGAGTGGCTATAACAAATAAAACGGCGAGACTATAATTTGTGGACGAATCAATCAGGTATGAGATAACAGATCTTGTATTTTGGCGCGAAAGACATTCATTCATTTGGCTAAATAAATTTCTGGCATTATAGCTGTCAGTTTGTGATGAAAACCCCATATATAATTCCTAACTAAGGCAAATTATGACAATTATTGCAAACTGGATAATAAAAGCACCAGTAATACTGGCTGCAGCCAGGTACTACAATATATACGGATGTTTAGAGAGCGTACGGACTCCTACATAGGCTTGGTTATGTGTATTGTGTCGTTATCCAAAAGTGGCATTTTGTGTACTCAACAATCGGAGTGCGCATAAACAATATTGAAGCTATGTGGTCGAGGCTGAAAGAGTTTTTGAGTCTTTATCATGACCCCAGAGGCCGACTATTCTGAGATCCTCTGTCATATGCGTTACGAATTTGGAGCCTTTGAACCTCTTTCTAACCTTGACAAGTTTTTGAACCACGTATAAGAAGTGTATCCACTTTGGTTTTTTATAATGTATTTTTCCTCAATACTGACTGGTTGATGATTGGTTAATATTTCTCACGGTCACTTAAGATTCGTTTAAAGGTCGTCCATAAATTATAGTCTCGCCGCTCTGGAAGAGGTAGAATCCTTCACGTACCTGGGACGCATCAGCGATGAACAAGGAGGATCAAATGCAGACGTAAAGGCGAGGATTCGCAAAGCAAGAGCCACATTCCTACAGTTGAAGAACATATGGAACTCAAAACAACTTTCAACCAATATCAAAGTCAGAATCCTTAATACGAAAGTCAAAACAGATCTACTGTACGGAACTGAAACTTCGAGAACTACTACAACGATCATCAAGAAGGTATAAGTATTTATAAATAGTTGTCTACGGATGATACTCGACATCTATTGGCCAGATACCATCAGTAACAGCCTTCTGTGGGAAAGAGCAAACCAGTGTCTAGATGAAGAAAAAATTAGGAAAAGACCTTGGCAACGGATAGGACATACATTATGGAAATCACTAAACTGTATTACAAGACAAGCATTAAAATAGAATCCTGAATGGAAGAGCAAAAGAGAATGGCCAAAGAACACAATACATCGGGAAATAGAATCAGATATGAAAAGGATGAATAACAACTGGAAAGAACTGGAAAGGATTGTTGAGGATAAGGTTGGATGCAGAATGTTGGTGAGCGGCGTATGCTCGTTCACGACAAGTAACAGGCTTTATTATTCCATTATAATGTTCAATTAATGTTTAAACTGAATTTCACCAACATTATTGATTTATTAGTGCAAATTACTTTTGATCAATCAATAATAAATGTGATTGTATCAACTATTTGTGGGTGTACTGTAAAGTACTAACACTAAACTATTAATACTGACGAAAATTGTTAGAATAAGTTGTTGTTGTACAGAAAACAGATGAATGACACCTTTTGTATAAGTGTGCGGGCATATATGTATGCGTGTGTGTGTGTGTGTGTGTGTGTGGTAACTTCATCACTCTTTAAAAGTACATTGTACTCTTTATATTGTTCTATTAGTTACCTAATGATACTGAATAGAACTCACATGACTACTAAGTAATAGAAGAGATTTTTGGAAAAAAAATTTCGGGACAAACATACAAATAGAATTTTAACTGTAATAACCAATTAGAATTCTGATTGTGTGTGTGTGTGTATTTGTGAAGACCCGAAAACACAAAAAAAAACACAAAAAAACACAACATACAACTATGAGTTCAAGATTATCGATACCAATAAGCTGAAGTTTATGAAGTATATAGATCATTCTAGACGTATAATATCATCTGATGATCATAGATACTAAATTCTTTGTGTGTGTGTGTGTGTTTATATGTGTATACATAGTGCAGTTAGATAGATCTCTCTGTATGTGTATGGTGTATGGTGTATATTGTATCTACGCCTATTCATTTGATCTTATTATTGAACCTAAATATATAATCACTTGATATAACAATGACATACATTAACTCTTCTTGGATTATCAAATACTACTTATTATTATTATTATTATTATAGAAATAGAATTCATTTCATTTCATCAACGTTTTAATAGTTAACCATTGTGGATTACGTAACAGATATCTATATCTATCTATCTATATATATATATATATATATCACTTCTTTCTAAATCTTTATTCTATTTACAGCATCCATTTGTACTACTGTACTACTGTACTACTACCAATACTACTAATACTACTGTAAACATTACAATTAGTAACTATGCCAATGTATGTAGATGTAAAGATGTATAGAGATGTATTAGTGATCATGTACATCACAATAATAATAATAATGATGATGATGATGATGAATTCTTTTATTCAGAATGAATGACAAGTATTAGTATCATTACTATTGAATGAATAATTAAATATACATCCATCTATCTATCTATATATATATCTACATCTATATAGTGAATGGCTAGTCAAGCAAGTAGAATGGAAAGTAAATTATATACAAGTCATTTAATGAATTCATCAACAACTCCAACTATTACAACTAAATCTACATTACCTATTATTGATCAAGATGGATATACAAGGAGTTATTTTAAAGAACCTATTCCAGCATCATCATCATTATTCTCATCAACACCATTGTTCACTTCAACTCATCCTAGAATTGTATCATCAAAGGATATTGGAAATAATAATAATAATAATAATAATAATATAAATGATAATACTATTGAAACATACACTAAACGTACTATTCATAGTAATGAATTAGGATCTAGATTATCACCAATAATAACAAATAGACAATCAAATGAATTCATGATGAAATCTACGGAATCATCATCACCAATAGTGGATTATTTATTATATGATGCACCAGCATGGATGAGACAATCTAAAATAAAAAATCATAAAGTAATTAGTAGTGTGAATAGTAGTTCAACAATATCTTCTAATATTATAACAACAACAACAACAGCGACAGCGGCAGCCGCAGCAGCAGCCGCAACCGCAGCGAGAACACCAGTAATGACAACAATATCACCATCATCTAATATAACTCATATTGTAAATGATACAAAACCTAATACAGATAATATTACAATTATACATAAGGAGAATGTGAAGAATATGAATTCTGGTAATCGAATAACAATACAATCCGATTTAAATAATAATAATAATGATCATTTTATACGATCATCAAGTCCTCGATCGAATGGATCATTTCGATTTGTAAAATCTGGATCACGTAGATTTCCAGGTAAGGCAAATAATAGTACACATTCTTGTTAAGTTTTGGATTGAGATCATGAATTGATCGATGTTAGATCACTATTAAGAAGTTGAGATTACTGGACGGTGGTTTTGTTCTAGTATGAGACTCCTCAGCAGTACGTATTCACTATCAAGTGTGAAAATACTACAACCTCTACAAATCCTCATTCTAATAATAATAATCATGTGCTCACTAGTCAATAGGTTCAAGATGGATTTCTTAAAGTTCTAGCGAGAACTCATGACCAGTAGAGTTTAATTTGTGCCGGGTAGCGATAGTTATTTACCTCAGACAATCGATAAGAGGTTGCGCAAGATTATGGATTGATTGAAGTTAGAAATTAACACGGTAGGATACCGGTTCAGTGAATAAGAGGTTAAGTCTTCGCCTGTGAGACCGAAGGTCTTAATTTTGAATCATGGATGTGCACTTCTAAGGAGTCCCATACTAGGACGAAACGGTCGTCTAGTGCTTTCAAGTTTTCAGTGATGGCCTAGCTTAGATCGACTCGTAAATTCAACCTTAAGATATACATTTAATCATAATGTTGATCGAAGGTAAACTTATTTTTCGAATTAGAGACTGAACATTTTAGTTAAATGTTACAAAATTAAACACCTAATAAACTGTTATTCTTATTACCCACCATTATGGTTACTGCATTGAAAGTTTATAGTCTCTTTTTCTCATGGGAATACATTACAGTCACTGTATATTAGGTGAGTTATTGAATATTGTAGTTGGTTAGATACTAGAAACAAATTGTTAAAATATGTGAATAGTAACTATGGCAAATAGTTCAGTGATTTAGTCAGTGCCCTGAAATCCTAACGATTTAACTACATTTTCACCACTAACCGTTTTTGCATCACTACTGTACTGATTCACATGCTTAAGATGGTGCAGAAGATTTGTGATTAAGGTTGGATGGTTTCATTGAAGTTTAGTTCAATGAGCTGCATTGTTTGTTTGGTTGTGAAGTTTTCGATGTTCAAAAGAATCAAGAAGACTTCATGAATGCTTCATCTCAGTGAACAAAACTCGACCAAAATGATTCGTATAATTTCCTGCTCATTTTTTATTATGTAAGGAAACAAGAGATGACTACAGTAGAATTTATGGATTGAATATATTTGTCTATGGAAATAGACATCATGGTAACGGTATAGTGAATGAACACTTAGGTGGGGGAAACTGGATTATTGTCTCATGCATTATCACACAGTAATTTAGTAAAATGTGAAAATCTTACATTAAATACATCTACTTCGATGTTGTTTTTACAAGCTTCGCCGTTCCTTCATTCCTGTTGTTATCTAGATTGTTTTCAGTTTTCCTCATCTCTTCTCTTCATTTTAATCTTCTCAACTTTCTGCTCGTAGATATTCGACTTCTGACCAATGTTACGTACTACTTATATCTGCAAATATAAGTAGCATACACCATAGTGGGACCGTTTGTGAACATATGAAAATAAATATGAATGTCAACTAGTCACTGTTTAAAAACCTGTGTTTACTTTTTTTAACATATTTATAGTTATAACTTTTCAACAGAGCACACAGTATTGGACTATGGCCACATTCCCGATGGATCGATAAAATTCGATTTTTGTGGCATACAGGTTTTCACACCGAGTCATCAATACTTGGAACCTGCTGCCCGAAGCAGTGGTGTCCGCACCTTCAATTGACTCTTTCAATAGAGGACTGGACACTCACAGAAGTATACTGGGAAAGGAATAGCATAGGCCGTAGGCCTTATGTCCTTACTACACAAATCTGAAATCTAATTCACATTAGTTTATGCACAAATATTTTTTTGAACTGTATCCATTGAAGCGAGTATTATTGTGGTGTGTTAGTACTGTGCATGTAGAGGATTGGTATAAGTAGGCCTTTACAGAGTATATCACGTCTGTATCAAGTCGATAAACCTTTCTCAGTAAGAAGTTGGACAAAGTAGACTTAAGCAAATTGATAAGTATGAGATTTGGACGAATACACACTATTAGTTAAGATTTGAATTCTTTTTCTGAAGAAACATAAATACACTATGGGTTGAAAATTTCACGAACTTTCTAAGCAAAACAGTGGTCTTGAGGTCCATCGTTTGAGCGCGGGACCGAAAGTCCCGGGTTCGAGTCTCATGTGAAGGATTGTGGATATGCACTGCTGAGGAGCCCCATACTAGGAGGTAAATATATTAGTATATGGGATTTGCAGAATTTACAGACTTTGAACAATTCAAATCACCGGACTATCTTAGGTAAACCAACATTCGAAATCTAAAGGCACTGCGTAGCTGTTTCACTGTAGTATTGGACTCCTCAGCGACACGAATCTACGATCTTGCATGTAGGACTTGAACCCACGACCTCTGGTCTCGCGCGCAAACGCTTAAAATTTAGTCCACTGAGCCGGCATCAAATAGTGTTCATGTTTATCTTCATTCAATTCATGATACCTCACAACCCACACCGATCGCCTGCGATGGATAACCATCTGACACCCAACACGACTCGAACTTCAACTTCATAAAGTTGTTGTACTGATAATCTTTGCTTGGCTAATCAATAAAAACCTATTTACTCACTCTCCGTTTCCTAATTCAAGTGTATACTTTTGACAAACATATAGCAAGTGTATATGTTAGTAGAAGCCTCAAACTATAGCTAAACACAACGCTTAGATTGTGAATTTAAACGCTGTTATGTTTCCCTAATCTTATTTGACAAATCGGATTTAAATCATGAACTGACTATAGTTATAAGATCAGGAAGGGCTTTAAAGATATTTCGTTGTAGAATTGGATTTCTCAGTGGTAGTGTGCATCCACAATTCCATTAGATTCTGAACTCAAAGCCTCCAGGTCTTTCAACTAAACTTTAACTTTAAGGTTACGGAGTTAGGACCCAATGGTTTATAATTACAAGTTCAGGGAATTTACTATATCGCTTAATGATTTTTCAATGCCATTGGTAGGTGACCACTTCACATTTGAAATTGTTAAGTTCGACTGATCATAATTACTCACCAGAACTCCGTAAGTTACCTTTCGAAACAGGTCACTAATGAACATATAATTACTACCAATTTACGGGTTCGATCCCCAATAGAGTTGTAGATGAAAAGTATTGAGACGTTCATACCAAAGCAAAACATCTGCCTAGTTCTTCACGCTCATCAATGGTTGCTTGATTAAGGTTAATCCGTAACGTAAATTTTAAAAATTGAAAATCTCCACAAACTCCGTACACTAGTGACAAACAATTTTTACTCATAGATGCACGTCCACAAGACCATATTACAATCGACTGCAGAATTTTCAACTCTTGTGACGTGTAACATATCTTCACATTATCTACTTATAATTCAGTTGGTTGATGTCACTTATTACACCTTCTTAATGAAACTTTTGGAAATCGAATGTCGTAATTATTCACTGGCATAAAATTTATTTATTTATTTAAACACACAAACATTGGTACAATGAGGCGACAAATATATATGCGCCACACAAATTATTCGTTATATGTGAGGGATGGGATACTGCCTGGTTGCCCAAACCGAAGCAGGTGGTTTTCTTAGGTGGGGGTGGGGCACACCCTGAGCCTTTGATCTAAAGGTCCGATCTACAAGGTAGTGGAGCATAGTAAGGAGATGCATTCCCATGGTAACGGGTGACCAACGATTAATTCATACTCCATTTGTTCCTTCAGGGTACTGGAGTCCATATCCATCATTGGTTTGGAATCAGGGTATTCCAACTGTCATAAGTAAACTCTCCGTGGCCATCTACCCGGTTAAATCGCCAAACATTCGCATTTCGTCCTCTCGATTTCTCAAACAACACCCATTGTGCGAGAAGGGAGTGAGAAGGACTTCCCTTGAAGTGGCTGTATGCACGTGGTCATGTAAGAGCATTTCGAGAGGAAGAGTTGACTCTTCTCACTCTCGGCCGTACCACGATCTTGCATGTGATCCTTGAGAAAGGGCCATGCTAATCTTTGAGTTAACCGAGTTACAATTTCCTCAGTAGTGTCATTTAGGAATTACAATTTTAAGAACGGTACTTTCTTCAAAATGGCAGATATATTCGATCTTCTTTTCATTTCATTTATATGGTCCTTGATAAATTTCATTGGATATCTATTTCAACAGTTGAGATCATGAGTCGATTGAAGCTAGACCAACACGGAAAACCTGGAAACACTGGACGACCGTTTCACCCCATTGTGGGACTACCTCAGCAGTGAGCATCCAAGACCCCGCCTACAGGGATTCGAACCCATGACCTATCGTCCTCGCGCCATGCGCTTAACCAACTAGACCACTGAGCCGGTATCCAAAGATGTTAATGTCTAATTTCAACTAATCCACGAAATTGAGCGACACATCCACCATTGTCATCAGTGAGTTACTATCTCACAACAGACCCGGTTGAACTCCACTGGTCACTGCTTCTCACTAGAACTCCAGGATATATTTCTTGAAGCTAGTCACTAGTGAGCATATGTTGATTAGTATCAGAGAGGGTTTTGTGGAGATTGTAGTAATTTCAACAGTTGAGATCATGAGTCAATTGAAGCTAGACGTCATGAATATTATTCAATTCATCTAAAATGATTTCATCAGAATAAATCATTCTAGCATAATCGATAATTGATAGATGGATGAATATTATCAAATATATTTAGTGAATTATCCTCCTCATGTTACTTTTCTTATACCATGAGAGTATCATCTATGTAGTGGCAGTAAGATGTTAGATAGCTGACTGTATCTTTAAGTGATTCATTTTCCGATTTTACAAGAAAAAAAATGTTTGTCAAGAGAGGATCCAACGACTACACCATCTATATATCTATAGTATTCATTGTCAAATCGGTAGTGGACATTCATCGTACATCTAAGAATTAACAGTTTATTACGGATGGGGGAATTAAGGTCTCTATGTACCTCTCTGTTAGTTCATTCCAAGTA